TCATGTTTTATACACTTCCCCTCTCTTCCTTAGTAATTGTCCAAAACATGACATAAATTTATTTAATTTTAATAAGCAATAGCATAAAATCGATGTAAAATTTCCCTGGGAACACGATGGTGCAATTATTTTTTTGCTACTTGCCGTAGTTTACGAGATATTTGCGAAAAACCTTATTTTTACGGTTTTTTGACCTTTTGACCCCTTTCCTGATCACCTAGGTAAAAAATTTTTGCGGATTCGGATTCCTGAGGGTCGATAACATATTTGCGCCCAGGTTTGATCTACAGAGGAAAAAATGGAGGTTCAGCCTTCATTTCAATGGACTAGTATTACCCATCAATGCGCTGTCGTCTTCAAGTGGTGTATCTTCGGCAACAACCTTCATTCTTCCTTCAACTATTCCTGTCAAATCTTTCCTGGGTGAGGTGAAGTTAATATTTGCGGGGATTAGTCCAGTTTCCATTGCAATGATGCACTGTAGTAGATAGATAAGTTGTATAAAGCACATTTTAGCTTTTGCTGCAGAAAAACTATTTCACATGCTCTTATTTCCTTTCACCAGCTATTTGCTATAATACCGCTTCGAAATATTGGTAAAGCTGGAGTAATAAATTTGACTTCTACGAATTAAGTCGGAAAGCTTATGAAAAGAGGTTTAAGTTAAAAAAAAATCGTCAAGATTCGTTGAAAAACAGTCTGTAACTCCGTTGTTTTTCAACAAATCTTGACGATTCTTTTTTAACTTAAAGCTCTTTTCATAAGCTTTCCGAATATGTAATAATATACAGGGTGTTTCAGAATGAAGTCGACAAACTTTAAGGAGATATTCCTCATAAAAAAATAAGAAAAAGATCAAGTAGGTATAAATTTTTTTCCAGAGACGCTTCATTTTCGAAATATGGGGCGTTAAAATTTTTTATAAAAATTCGAATTTTTTAAATAGCTTTTAAATGAAGAAGGCTATTTAAGCCAAATTTGGCAAGACACATCTTCTTATAAGATACCATTTTTCCATAGAAGTAGAAGTCCCGCGTGCAACCAGTGGCGGAGTTATGGGGACTCAGACTCATTAAACTATAAAAAAAGTTAATACGGCCCTACTGAAAATAAAAAATGGTGCTGTGTTTAGATAGAACAGTTTGTTATTGACAAAAAGTGTACATTCACTTTTTTTCCCAACTCTTATAGTTCCATTTTCAATCAAAATCAGTTAACGTGTTTCGGCGTTTTAAAAAAAATTCACTCATTCAAAAGATATGAATTTTATTCCGTACTTCTGGCCATCCCTGTACATTACATCTTAAAATAAAAAACATATATTAGAACATGTACAGATACTTAAATTACAAAATTGAATTTAATTTAACGGTGAGGTCAAGCGTATAAAAAAAGAGAAAAGTGCAAATGATCAAGACATCACTAATGATTCGCACAGTTTTTTTCCTTAATTTAAAATTAATTATATTTATGTTGTTATACAAGAGTTTTAGAGCTAAATATGATTTTTTTACAAGCAAGCTGAGATGTTCTTTGAACCTTAAATGTTCATCGTATATTATACCCAAACTTTTCAGTCTACACTCAATTGGCAACACTGTATCAGAGAAAACCAATCTCATATTAGTTTTAACAAACTCTCTATGTCTTCCGTCACAGAAGCAAATCACAACACATTTGCTAGCATTAAGTTTTAAAATTATTGTTTAGTTTTACAATTTGGCGTCTATTTGCTATATATCTATATACTTAGTGGCGTAACCAAAATGTAAAGTTGGGGGGGGGGCCTGAAAAAAATTCTTAAAATTTGGCGAAAAACGGTTTTAAAATTAAAATATTACTTTATTAGTTATAAAAGTTGTTTATACAGGGTGTCCCACCACAAACTCCATCGAAATTGTGACGGTGTGATACAGATCGTGGGGCCTACCAGGCTAAAATATTTTCAATATCATCGTACTTCCGGTTTTACCGGAAGTGGAATTTTCTTATTTTAAATGAAACCCCCTGAATATTATTGCAGTTTTGGAAAGAGCATCTATTTTTAAGTTGAGAATATATAACACACTTCATACTTACGATTGACCGTTTCAGAGATATTTTGATTTTTAAGCAAAATTTTTAAACCAACAGTTCGTGGCGGGACAGCCTGTATTTATAATATATTGTTTTTTTATAGTATATAAATTGTTTTATATTTGGTAACTTAAAATAAAAGTGCAGATATAAAAAAACTTTGTATCACGTAAAAAAAGGAACTAAACATTTTCAAACTCTATCACAGAAAATACCTCTAAAATCACAACAGAAAATAGCAAAAATCAAAATGCATAACCACAAAACTTGTACAGCACAGACTACCAAATACAGACTCTCACCTCAACACAAATTATGACAGACCGCGATGCATTTATCAAGTACACGATGCGATCGGCATACCCAGTGACGTAGAAAGTCAGGCAACATATTCCTTTAGGGATAAAAATCGCACGGCAGATCTTTGGGTGGGGGGGGGGGGGGGTGCTGAACTATACAAAATTGCGAGTTAGAAAAATAAAAACGTGGCTTACTTTGACGAGAGAACACAGTCCAGCAGCGCCCTCTGCATGTCCAGCGTTTGATTTAACAGAACCAACCAAGAGAGGACGTTTCCGTTGCTTCGCGAGTACTTCGTCTATAGCATAACATTCCTGGGTACCACCAACCAAAGTACCTGCGGAATGAAAGAAGAACAATCAAGTAATCCTTTGAGAACTATTATTATACAGGGTGTTTCTGAAATAAGTGCGTTCCTTGGAAAGGGTGGCAGAGGGCACGAAAATGAGCAACTTTTATTAAGCAGATGATAGTCCAAATGCTTGTGATTTCGAGAAAATTAATTAAGAAAATTAACCATAAAAGTAAACCGATACTGTGCATCTTGTTCACGTGCGTTGTGAGTTGCAGTATTATTTAGTCGGTGTATAAAATGTTTATTGGCGTGATGCAAATCCTCCCGTTCTGCAGAGATCTCGGTTCCAGCAATGGTTTTCAGTGAATGTGCGGTGTGGTGTTTTTGGTCATAGAATTTTGACCGTTGTCTTTTTAAGAAACGCATTTATTTCAGAAACGTATCTGTGTAATGATTAAAGTAATTGGAATTTGTATAAATAATAATAAATATTTTTAGCGATTAGTTAATGATGCTGTTAGTCACCTGTCTCATGTGCTTCCACGTAGCTTAAACTGTGCCGATCTACACCGCATTCTTCGTAACACTCTTTTAGCATGTCCATATGCGACAGTCCGGATGAAAAAGTAATGCTTTCCACCTTGTATCCGTCACAGTTGGACTTGGCATGCACCAACTGTGCGTACGCTCTTTTAGCACACTTCGATTTCTGTAAGATTGTTGAAACTATAGCCTCCGACCTAACGAAACCATCGGCATCAGCGTCGAAGCATCTGAGACAACCTTTCTGGCTTAAAACTCCAAGCCTAGAAGATTAACTAATTAGTAGGTAGCCTTTATACAGGGTGAGTCAGAAAGAATTGGTCAACAGTAAAGTGGAGATACTAGAATTTCTCAATAATTCAGAAAGTTTTGATAGCATGGCTCTGAAAATTGGTAGTGTGGTTTTTTTGTGTGAGAATTACGAATTTGAAGCTTATTTTGACGTTGCTACTAGAGGGCGCTAGTTTCACTGTATTAATTAGGTAAATCAGAACATATTTTTTTAATCTGTTGAGCTATGCTTAGAATAAGCTAATAACACAGGCCAACAAGGAAAAAATTCCAGAGATCAGACAATAGGTTTCCGAGATATTCTAACCTAAAAGTGCAAAAAACACGTATTTTTGCTATTTTCAAGGATATGTAACTTGGCGAAAATTTTTTTTTCTCAAAACTGAAAATATCATTGGAAAGTACTATCTTTCCCCTTCAAAACGCATTTTTTTATTTGTAAAAAGCTTTGTTTTTCGCGGAGATATCGTAGATTAAAGATGATGAGTATAGCTACCCTCGACCTATAACACAATATCACTAAGCGCTACGAGCCTTATATGTCAGGAAGGTTAACCCCAATAACCCAAATAACCCAATAACCCAATAGGGCTTGGGATTAATCTTCCAGACATATAGGGCTTGGGGTTAACCTTCCTGACGATTAGGGCTCGCAGCGCTTAGTGTTATTGGGTTATAGGGCTTGAAGTTAACCTTCCTGACGATGAGGGCTCGCTCTGTTTAGTGTTGTGGGGTTATAGGGCTTGGGGTTAACGTTCCTAACAATTAGGGCTAGCAGCGCTCAGTGTTATGGGGTTAGCCATGATGTAATAATATAGCCATACTGGTCATCTTAAATTGACGATATCTCCGCGAAAAATAGAGCTTTTTCCAAATAAAAAAATGCGTTTTGAAGGGGAAAGATAGTCATTTCCAATGATGTTTTCAGTTTTAAGAAAAAAAATTTTTTCGCCAAGTTACATAACCTTGAATATAGTAAAAGTACGTGTTTTTTACACATTTAGGTTAGAATATCTCGGAAACCTAGGGTGATGGATCAATTCTGAGGCCAGATTCGGATTCAGCGCGCCAAATGCCTTCGGAAGCATAGTGTCTGATTTCTGGAATTTTTTTTTTGAAATTTTGTCGGCCTGTGTAATCTAAAAGAAAGTTCAATTCTACATAAAAAATGTACTCTTGTAGTATTCTCTAGTGTATTCTCAAAAGATGAAAATAACATTAACAATTATTGATAATAGTAATAATAACAAACCGTAAATCAAATGCTGGAAGTGTTCACCACCTACCTCAATACATTTTATTATACACTCTTAAATGTCTCTGAATATTAAACAAAATGTCCATATTATTTTTAAATGTATTTGCGGTTACTTGTATTTTCTGCCGCAACTCCTCAATAGAATTAATTTCTTCACGATACACCACATCCTTCAAGTTTGACCACACTGAGAAGTCCGGAGGGTTTAAGCCTGGACTTCTTGGTGGCCAACTAAATTCATTCCTTCGGCCAATCTACCGATGAGGAAAATGTTTATTTAAATACTGGCGTACTGGCAAGGCAAAATGTGGTGGTGCTCCGTCGTGCATAAACCACATACTCTCTCTTAAAGCGAGTGGTACATCATCTAGAAGCTCGTTTAAATTATGTTGAAGAAAATTTAAATAATGAGGTCCAGTTAGATTGGGTGCCAATTTAAAAGTTTCGATGAAAAAAAAAAAAAAACAGAAATTAAACCACACCAAATATTCACCTTGAACTCATGCTGAACGTATCTTTCTTTTACAGCATGCGGAATCTCACAAATGATTGTTCTTCCAATTGAAAACTCCTCGTCTAGTAAATGTCGCCTCATCAGTAAATAAAATCTTATTGAGGAAATCTGGGTTTTCCGTTTGCATATTTTGTATAAACTGAGCAAATTGTAGGCGAGCTGGTAAATCTTGAGGCAATAACTG